GCACAGATTGCAACCAGGTGGTAGGGTGATGATTTACATTAGACTCACCCCCACGAGCATGAATATTGGACTCACAGCAGATCTGATTTCACAGCTCCTCCTCAACCTCAACTCATTTCCTTTTAGTTAAATGTAAAAAGTGTTAACTGGAAAGATTTACTTGTTTAACTTCCTTCATTCTAACATTGTATCAAAACACCTGAGTACAGTTTTTGTCTCCCATCTAGAAGGATGCCTTGCAGATTAGTAATTAATCAGAATCAGAAACTGTTATTCGCCAAGTACAAGATATACAAGGAATTTCTCTTGGTGCAGGCGTCGACGTAAATTCCAATAAGAAAAGTAACAAAAAAGAAATCTACAGATAAAAACAGGCGTCGTCCTTCAGATGAGATGTAAAACTGAGGTCCTGACTCTCTTTGGTCATTAAAAATCCCAGGGCGTTTCTTGAAAAGAGTAGGGGTGTAACCCTGGTGTCCTGGCCAAATTTCCCACTGGCCCTTACCAATCATGGCCTCCTAATAACCCCCCTCTCTGAATTGGTTTTATCACTCTGCTCTCCTCCCCACTGATAGCTGGTGTGTGGGGAGCGTTCTGGTGCACTATGGCTGCCGTCGCATCATCCAGGTGGGGCTGCACACTGGGGGTGGTGGAGGGGATCCCCATTACCTGTAAAGCGCTTTGAGTGGAGTGTCCAGAAAACTGCTATATAAGTGTAAGCAATTATTATTATTAATTAATAAATTAAAAACAAATCTCAGTGATATGTTACAATATAAAAATGTACAGTGAATACTGCGTATATTTGCAGAAACTATCGGCAGCATGTGCCGTTAAATGAAACTGTACAACTGATCCCAGAGGAGGGGTGAGAGCAGTGTCCTTGTTTCTAAGGGTCATGGCCTGGGGGAAGAAGCTGTGCCGGTGTTGGTCAGTCCTGGTGTTCAGGCTCTCACTGAGAGGGAACACGCTGGAAGAGAGAGTGGCCAGGGTGTGAGGGGTCAGCCATGATTCCTCCTCATTCTAGAGGAGTGTAGATCTGGGAGTGGGAACTGCCAACCGGTTATTTTCTCTGCACATCGCAGATCAGTCAAGGATTGAGAAGTCACGGATCCAATGGCAGACAGGATGGGGAACATTGAGCTGCCTCAGTTTATCCAGAGGTAGAGCAGGGATGGTAGTTTTGAAAGCAGAGCTAAAGTCTGCAAACAAAATCCGGGCATAAGTGTGAGAGCTGTCCAGGTGCTGCAGGATGTAATGCAGAGCCAAACTGAAGGCATCGTCAGCAGACCTGTTAGCTCTGTATGCAAACTGCAGCGAGTCCTGAAAGGCATCAGTCATGATTTTGAGGTGATGAGAGCAGAATGAGATCTTCTGTTTATTGGGAACTGGAATTATAACGGGGGTTTCGAAACGAGCAGGTACTGCGCACTGGGCCAGGGACTCATTGAAAAGATCAGCAAAGATGGAAGACAGCAGTGCAGCACGGTGCCTGAGTGCTGCTGGTGAAACACGAAAAACGGTGCTCAGTAATGGTGATAGGAGGGTGCAGGGTGCGAATTGGGGGGTGAAATGGAGAGAGGAGGTGTGAGGAATGTCACAGACTGTGGCTAGACTGGGGAGAGGGGTGGAAGTGGAAATCCTTTCAAATCTTGAAGGAAAACAATATTAAAGCAAAGAGAAAAAAAGAAACCTGATTCCTCGCCGCTCCACTGTGGGAGCCTGGTGCCCATATTCGCCTGCGTCTTTCTGTTTCAGGTACCCGACGGCACACCATTTGTTTCTGTGTATAAGAGCTATGAGGTGACTGTTCTCAGAGAATGATTGCCTTTTGCTGTGCTATGTCAGGTGTCAACTTGACTCTAAATGTGTTTGCCTTGGAAACCCCCGCCGTGCTTCAGTAATACTCACTGATATCCCTCTCTGAAGGGCAGTGTCTTGGGGATTGTCACGCCTTCCACACGCTTTGACAAGCGCCTTCACATTCCCACGCTTAAACACACGCTCACGCTGCCACTAATCTATCACCTTTCACTCTCATCACCACTTTAACCCTCCTCTTTTTCCTGACTCTCGCTCACCGATTCGGATTCTCTTTGGATCTTCCTTGTGCACGTACCCTTCTTCTAACAGTTTGATCTCTTCCTCGCTTCCTGGACTCTCCCTTTGCGATTTGGATTTGTCGTCTCGATTGAATTGTCCCAGCCCGGTTTTGACTTTTGTCTGCCCATTTGTTTTGGAATATTAGAACTTGTGTTTTTTTTGGTACTTTTTTCTATAGGGACTTCCTGCAACAGCTTGGGGAAATCACCAACTTGATTTTTTAGCATATACGATTGCTAACAGGGACTCTAAGATCTCTGATCTTATTGGTTCCTTTGGCTTGTGTGAAGGCCACATATACAGATCACAAAAATGGATTTACCAGTGTTACCAGATAGAGGATACAATGCCAGTTTTGTCTTCACTGCACTGAGTTCAGTAATCACTCATTAGAAACTGAATATGTTCCTTTTATTTCTCAATAAAAGTTTCATTCTGCTTTTGCAGCCACATACTCCCGCCAGCAGTGACACTCAGGCTCTGCTGGTTTGCTGACAGGAAGCAGGGTGTCTGAGAGAAACACGGGGTGGCTGGAGTGTGTCATCATGGCTGATCTCCAGCCCCCAGCAGCTCAGCTCCACGCCTCACATTAGCAGCCTCCGACGGGGTCTCCCGTCTTCCTTCCAGGCTGGCCTCGCAGATCCGTGTCAGCTCTTTACAGATTTTGCAAGGGTGGCCCCCTTGAAAGGATCAAACAGTAATGTTTGACATGGTGGAGCTACAGCAGCAGCAACGGTTTCAGGGGTGTTTCAGGGGTGTTTCCTCCTTTTTGATGGAGAACAGCATGCCTGCCACATTAGATGGAAGACACGAGACATCTCCCTGTATCTCCCCCTGTATGTCTGATTGCTGAGTACCTCCTACAGCTTTCTGTCCCAAAATCCTATAACAAAGCAATGTGGCACTAAAGTTGTTATAGATTGTATGTTAACAGCAAAGAAATGTTAAATAAGAATTATTTGTCTGTAGGTCATCATTGGTACCTGATTCATTCTTTCTTCCAATCAAATTTGACTTGAGGTTCAGAATCCAACTTATTTGTAGGAATTTTAGGGAGGAACGTACATTCACTGCATGTGTCTGCAGCCCTAGTCCTGGACAGCCCAGGTCCAGCGACTCTTACAGGCAGCCTTTAAACCAGCAACTTCTTAAAGCCAGGCTCAATTATGATGAATGAAATGGGTGTTGTGTTTAATTACTCAATTGAGAGATTATTTGAAACAGAAAAATCAGAATATCATTCAGCCCTCAAAAACTAATGTTCCCTTCATTGCACCATTATTTTGCTTGCTCGCTGGATGGACTGACCAAGTTTTCCTAATCTTTAATTAACAGATGATTTATGGTGACCTTGAAGAATAACTGGATTGTGGCTCTGCAGGACCAGGGTTGAAGACCTTTGGATTAGGGTGACAGACACTGAGCCCTTTATGACTTCCTGAAGTGGAATTGTGATATTACTACATGAATTAAACTGCTATTAGCCATCTTATAGTGCTTTCATCATAAGTGTATGCACAAGCATTTCTGATTCAAAAATGCTAAACACGCAGAAAAGTCAGAATGGCTACCTTCAAGTGAATAACTACCTGAGGATAGTATGGACTCAAGGAAATAAATTATCAGTACTGGGGTTACAGAGAGGGAGATAAGTGTAGGAACACTAAATTGCACTCTCTCCACGACAATGGTTGTCTAAACATTAGTAACGCTGGCTGACCATTTCAAATCCCATGCGATCCATATAGATCAAGGTTAAATTATTTTCAAGGCACAATGTGTGCTAAACGTAATCTCGCACTCTGTGACGGTACTCTTCACCACCTGATGGCAAAATCTCTCTTTGGGGATTTTGTGATGATGATCACTTCTGGTTTCCTTTCCTTCAGGTTTCACCGCCATATTTCGGTAAGTCTATATATATAAAATCTATTTAAAAAAAATCTCTGCTTGCAATTTCATTTTTCTTATAGCAGTTTCTAATTCTAGTTCTTAAAGACAAATGGGTCTTCTGGTTCTTGGTCCACCAGAGTTCTGAATTAGAATAATCAAAATCAATTTAGCCTTAACCGCTAAACAAGCCATTAAATGAGCATAAACAATCCTCATTTATGTGGACATGTCCACACCTCTGTGCTACTACCTCTCTGCAGAACTCCGTGTTTATATTGTAATAATAATTGAGGGTGTTTGAAACAATATAGTAATTCCAACTCTAATCTTTGTATATAATAACATCTGTATTAATAGGTGTGGGAAAGCAAGAGCTCATTAAGCAAGCTGAAGACAGACCCTGTCTCGTTTCTTATGTCACAAGTGGGAGGAAAATGCTTTAAGTTTTACAATATCAGGTGTATTAAATTCATGGTTGATTAGTGAGCTTTACACTTGTATTAACTGTAAATACAACATAGTTTACTATGCAAAAAAAACTAGCGGTGTGAACAGAATAATAATTCTCTATTTTCTAATCCTAGAATAATATAAAACTGAATTTCTACTTTGACTTAGTTTTCAGAAAACATTTCCTTACTTAAACCTGTGCATTTCCCAAAAAGCTAAGCTCTCCTGTCAAGAGTACAAACAGGAGAGAGTGGAGAAGCAGCCGGGAGCACCAGTGGGCAGGCAGCGCTGGCGTGTGCTCAGCAGGCGTGAGCACCAGTGGTCAGGCAGCGCTGGCGTGTGTTCAGCAGCTGGGAGCACCAGTGGGCACGCAGCGCTGGCGTGTGCTCAGCAGGCGTGAGCACCAGTGGTCAGGCAGCGCTGGCGTGTGTTCAGCAGCTGGGAGCACCAGTGGGCAGGCAGCGCTGCTGTTTGTCCCGGATCAGCAGTGCTGTGTGGAAATCCCTTCGCTGACGTACCAGGCAACTGCAATGAATCACAACACACTGGCGAGGTGCCCTTTTTTCCAAACTGGTCAGATGGAATGGTTTATTCATAATCATCGCAGCATGAAACAATAAACAAGAATAGCACTGACAGTAACTCGAGGCCTCTCACACGGCATGCACAATGTCCCAGCTTAACGTACAGGTCGCAAGGTTTCCTTTCAGTTTTTTTAACCTTTTGGTCTTTTTTTCATTTTTATCTTTTTTTATACAAAAGCCCCCCCCCCATAGTTTTCAGAACACTCCCCAACTCTTCCCCTTTGCCCTCTTATATATTGTTTTCTTTATTCATGTGTTGTAAAAAGTCAGCTGAAGTACATTTTATAATTGTAACGTTCTTTAAAACTTGTTTTGATACATGTAGAAATACAGGAGCCTGTGTTGGGAGGGCTGGAGGAAAGCAAACAAAAAACAATTAAAAAAACAATAAAAAAAATATATATAGTCCGTCCGGAAGAGTAAAACCGTCCGTGACGAGAAGGAGACGACGATGGAGCGAGACCGAAGCAGGAGGCCTTGTGGTCTGGAGGCACTTTGGCACAGAGCGAATGATCCACAAACACTATGGCATCGGGTGAAGCATGCTGTAACGAGCATTCAAACAAGACATCGACCTGGGGAGCGACTGAAGAGTTTCCTTAAGCGACACAAGATGTGGAAGAAAAGGCCAGCCCACCCCCCCATCCTTGCCACGGGTACAGAAAGAGGGAGAAGACGACAGGGAGGTAAGGGGAAGCTACACAAGACGCTTGGGTCGGCTGTTTTGCAGGGTGATCCCAGACAGCAGCTGCTGATGTCCAGCACGGTCCGCGTGTGTGAAAGGCAGGCCCCCGCCCCCTCCCTCTCCTCCCCACACACTGCTCCGGGCTCACAGGTACAGCTCCTTGGCTCTGATATGCTGCAGCTTCTCCCTCACTACCCGGAAGCTGGGCCGCACCACAGGATCCAGGGTCCAGCACTGCTTCATGATGTCGTACACCACAGGGGGGCAGCCGTCCGGGGCGTCCATCTTGTAGCCCTTCTCCACCCTGGGCACCACGTCCTTCAGGGGCTGAGAGGAGAGTAAAAACACGCCCACAGAGGTACTTTACTGGTGTGTTTACTGGTACTCTACACTGTTTCGTTGTATCATTACAGTCGCCATGTGTTAACTTGAAGTGCCCCTAACAGAACAGGTTGAAAAGCACAATAGATAAATGGCACCCTGAGCAAAGATAAAATCTAAAAATTAGCCAGGTACAAAATATATTACAATTAAGCATAAATGAACAAATACTGGCACAGGAATTGTAGCCCAACTGTTCCTAATAAGAAGCACCGGATTCAAATTGCAGTCACTTATCCTGTGTGGCATCAAGAGTGCAAAGCCAATGGAAAATGTCCAGTTTTCTCTTGAAAATGCAAGAAAGAAAATACTGTTTTTCACCTGAAAACTACTATAGATGTTGGATTTTCCACCTGGCTCTGTCTGACACATTTGCTTTCCAGACATCAAGAGAGTTAAAACCCAAAGACCAAGTGAAATAATTCAGAACAGACAAAAATAAACCGTTGATATTAATTTCTTGGCTTCTCCATAAGTTGTATTTTTATTTGTCTGTTTTTAATGATTAAAACTACAAAAATTCAGGTGACAGAAATTAAATTAATGTAATTTAATTTAGTGTTTTTACGGTGCTACATTTTCCAACACAGAAAACCTATACATGAAGTATTTACTTCCGATACTCCAGTACTGTTATCTTGTGATATAGTTTAATAAGCCAGCTTTAACTAGTAAGAGGTTTGTGTTGTGTGCAAATGTGGTGCACTCATTTTAAAATGGATTTTTAAGGCCAGTTCATCTGCCAAAGTATATCCATGTTGTTGTTATACAGTGTTGTTGTGAAAGCTGATGCCTTGGCTTGTTTTCAGAAGCCTTACATATGCTCTTATGTTTTAAATTACTTTATTGTCAGTCATTGAGCCAAGTAAACTCTGGCAGTCAGAAAAGTGCTCCCTCTGCTGGATAAAGTCCTAAATAAATGCAAGGCAGACCCTGCCATAGCAGAATTGTCCTCTGTACTGTAGTTGCAAATGCCAGATGCGGTCTGTCGGGGGTTTAACACGGGCCTTCTGCTTCTGCCTTTCCACCCTGCACTCCCTGCTACAAGTGAGAGGGAGTTTCACACCTCTAAAACACAGTGCCCCAGTCCTTCAAGCACTGAAGTTAAGAGAACTGTCAGAACATGGAAATGTTACTGTAGAAATTATAAAATGGAATTTGTTCATATAAAGTAAATGATGTATTTCAGCCGATAGTGCTAATCCCTTTGAGAAGTTGCTGTTCTCTACATTTTAAAAAGATCTCAGTCACACTTCCAAGAAATGTGTTGTGCTTTGAATGACCTTGGTGCAAAATGAGTTAACTGAGGTTTGCAACAGTCTTTTTTTCATGCACAGCACAACAGTTGACAAATCTTCATCCGTTCCAAGAGATGTGAATTGAACCTAAATGTCAAGCACTTAAATAAGTGAGCAACTAATGCAAAATAGTAGCATTTTGATGATTTAATCTTTCCTGGGAGTGGGGGTGGTATTGCCATGTGGCAGGAAGGAGTTCACTTACTATTCTGGGGTAAGGCACTCGCCCAAAGGAGTAAATCTCCCACAGCAGGATCCCGTAGCTCCACACATCGGACTTGGTGGAAAACTTCTACAGAGCACACAGAACAGAAAACTCAGCAAAGGACCATACTGGAGAAGATAAGGCTCAACCCCAGCCAGACAAGATTTGACAGAGACTAAAATTTGTCAGCATCTCCCTCCTCCACCCAAAAAGCCATGAATATCTGAGGCACCATCTTTATCCCAGCTCTCGGCACTGAGCATTAGGTTTATACTTTTCACCCTTATAAAGATTTTAAAGAGAAGTAAGATTTAATGCAAATGTTATTGATCTAGGGCTCTTTTTGTCCCACAAGCCCACAACGTTAAACAAAATGAGTTTCTTGTTTGTAACCTTAACCTTGTGACCTTAGTTCATCAGCCTAGAGCACACGACTCCTAACCCCAGCCTAGAGCACACGACTCCTAACCCCCAGCCTAGAGCACACGGT